GGGGGCTTTTCACCTCACTTCCTTTCCCGTTCCTTAGGTTATGCGGCTATGTGGCATGCATGCACAGCCTAGAAATGTAGCCTCTCTCGTAAGATCATACTGCCTTCCTTCCCTTCCATCACCCCATCCTGTGTAACTTGATTCAGAAAGAAAAAAAGCTTCTGCAGCCCTAAGTCATATCCTGGTAGAGATCTACCAAGAATGTACCTCATGCTTCGGAGCGAGACATCATACTTCAAGCCTACCCCTGGCCCTTTATTTTTCTTCTCCCACTCATTGGAAAGATGAGATTAGCGGGGAAAGGAAGGTGGGAGAGAGACCAGGACAAGGGGGGGAGGTTGATCGTGAGAGATAGATCTGTGAGAGGACAGATCGGGTGTCTCATCTGAATGAAACCCTAACTGGTGAGCCAGCCAGACATGAGGACTCTACCCTATCTTCTCAGTCTGCCAGCGGGGGCGAGTGTCAGAGAACAAAAAGGTGGGAAAAGAAGCACCACAGTGTTTGTCGGGGACCACTTTTTTCGATACGTATATGGAGTCAGTCCTGAAATCCCATACTATGAATCTTATGTCTCAGATTCGGTAGGAGTCTCCTGTATCGGGTTGTGAGACAGTGCGCAGGATTTTATATCTGGATCGTCAGACATCTTCTGGGTTTGCTGAGATTCAATCACAAGGCCGGTGAGCTTTTGCAAATTTGGGGATTCGAGGTGTGCTGACAATCTCCAAACATGTACATCCTTACTGGTTGATGTCCGAGAAGAGGTGATGTGAATGTCCGAGGTGGGCTCTCTGCTTGATTCTACTGGACACATGTAGTTTTCTCAACATGCTGGTCGGGGAATCGATAAGCAGAGGGTGAGTTAAACGATCCAATACCTAATCTTCCTTTCTTCGGCGTCTTCGTGGGAGCAATAATTCAGCACTAACCAGAGAATGGAAATAAAACAAAGCATGTACCAAGATATATGCACACCCATCCAATCGCATCTGACGGCCCACCCTATCTTCATTCGTGACTTAGTTATCTTTGATTGGGTATTGCAGCCTTGCTTGCTTGACCCTAGTGTCACCCTTTATCTCCCTCTTTATCTTCACCATCTACGTATTACTACTCGCGAACTACCCTATCAAGTCCGGGCGGCTTCAGCCCGGTAACGCAATGACTTCTTCCATCATCGGACCTTCCGGCATCGGGGACCATTTTATTTATGCACTCAAGATGAAGAGCATTCGCGGGAACACCCTGGGCTGTGCAGGTCATGGGCCACCCCCCCACTTATTCTAGAGTGTATTACAGACTTGCATAGCGAGCTCGGACGAAATCTTCCAGGGAGTAGAGTATATAATATTACATGCACCGCTAATGACAGGACGTCTTAGGTCTCAGGTCCTAGGTCTAACTCAGACTGATGGGTCTCAGTGTTTGGTGCCTGGTTATCCAACTGAAACTGAAACCGGAAGTGATGGTGAGACTTTGACTCACTTTTGATTCCCCGGAGCCTGCCTTACCTATCGGGTTCACACACACAGCCGTGGTAGGCAGGATCGACGACTAGTTTGGTCCCCGAGTACCGGCAGACTGGTTAGTCAAGCTCACTAGAAGTTAGAATAAAGGATGTGTTGCATGGTCGATTTGGAATCTTCTGAGTCAAGGAGTAGGTACATACTATATATGATTGATGAATCGTGCTATGAAAGTCTGGTTGTAATGACTCATGCCCGTCAAAGCGTATCAAAACAATTCCCAGAGCCTACTACATAGGGAGATTGTTGCCGCTTTGATTCAATGCCAAGTTGGCAAAACGTGGCGGCGGGAATCCCAGGATGCAACCGGAGAATTCAAAACATTTATGTTTGTCTTGACCCTTGGCAAATATCATAACATAATTTTGCATATAGGTGTCAGCTGATTCGGGACATACTTAACTACAAACAGTACTATAATGGAAGGTCTTATTCTTCTCCTGATTACTGAACTAATGGCTTTGACGATAACACAGCTGCAGAGGCGGGATGAAAGCGGGAGCGTGATCACGGTGTGATACGTATGATTTCTTATCGTCACCGTTTTCTTTTTCTCGGGGAGTGAAAAATCATATAACGGCGATTGAAATGGACGTTCGAATAAGAAGCTAACTCATCATTAGATAACACTCCTTACTTTACTCCCAAGTGATTATGCTTGCTGACCAGTAAAATGGTGAAACAGCACCAGAGATGTCTTGGCTTCTTCAAAATCCATTGCCAAGATGCCGTGCTGATCAGCAGCAGCGTTTGTTTCAATGAGATTTGACTGAGCCCGACCATGGGGAACAGCTGAAGCAAGGGCACCTAGAGCGTCAATTGATCAACCTCCACTTTGGTGTGATTGAAAACGGCATTTCATCCCACCATCCACCACATATCTTTGCTTTTCTCTCGTATCGAGGTGAAGTTATCGGCGAGCAATCGAGGATCGAGAATACGTCCCGAATGGCTATAGGTATCTCAAAAGTGAAGAAAAAAAAGAAGCCCTCTTACTTGGCAATAGGATGCCTTGCCTCGTGATACATGTTTTTAATGGTGACGGAAAGATTTATCACTGGTGCGTACTGAGGAAGTGCGCTTTTGCTTCATTCTGCTTTTACGGAATATTCCATTACGAAGAAATCTGGCTAATCACAGAGCTCTTCTGCTGCGTGTTTGCAGCGGGTCATGGTATGATTCCAGAAATGCAGAAAGTCATGCTATGCCAAAAAATGCAGAACATTTTGATGATCATATCACGTGATTCTTTGCTTTTTGATATTTTGTGCATATCTTTTCCCAATGATCACGGTGCTTGTTGGTTCGCCATGGCAGTCAGCTAAGCGCATGCGCCTGCTCTTAATTACGGCGCGTTTGACTGGACGGGTCTCTCCATCGGCGACTACACACCGGTGCTGTATTAGTACTCCTTGAAACGCTCATACAAAATCACTCGGTAAGTGATGGCTGCGCTCTACCCAATTTGGAATGGTTAGTTATTACTAAGCTAAGCCGTATTGCGTGTATGGACACCTAGAGTAGGTAGCCTCAGCTGTCTTACCCCTCATCCGCTCATGTTGTTGGCCTTTCCTTCTTCGCCCACAGCAAGACTTTTGTGATAGGAGTAGCCGAGCGGTGAATGTTCTTCGGCTTCGGCGAATGCAAGGCTGAGCTCCCATTGCCGGCAGTAATTGGGACCAGGAAAATGCCGATTTTGTAGATGGTCCAATTTGCTTGGCAGGCACCGTTGGTTGATCGGTGTCTAAGCAAAGATTAAATGGGATGTCTTACACAAACAACCGCCTGCTGAGTTTACATACCATACCAAGTAACTACTTCTTATCTACATACACAGTTGTTCATGAGGGGTCACTAACACAAGCGCTATTTCTGGTACTAGATCTGTGCCATATAACCTAATCTTAGGGGTTAACTACATCACTTATAGGAGTGATTCTACCTAGTTTGGGTCACTGCAGGTAAGATGAACTTGGTGAAGTGACTCTCTTTTACTACGCTACATTTAGGTGTGCTACGACGCAACATATTCAAGCCACAGGGTAATGCTGCCGTAAATGTACCTACATACCACTCTACAGTGGGGGTAAAATTTGCCAAGGAGTTTTGCGATATCGGTTTCTTCAATTGAAACGACTGTGGCACGGTGGAAATCAAGATGGTCATGCTGCCATCCTCTCTTTACCAATGCATAAAGTGAATTGATTCTGGATGTTTCGGCTTCTCCGCTTCGTTACTTGAATCCTGGTGCATATCATGGGGAATCCCGTAACGCAAGTATGGTTGTATGCCAATGCCAAGAGATATTTGAGACATTACTACTCCAGCTGCGTATGAACTAACGACAAATTTAGGTACGGTTTTTCTTGCGCAATATTTACTCAGCAGACCCCAAATTTCCGTTGATATTAACCGTCGCATAAGCTCGAAAGTCACAACTACCTAGCCACTTCAGGTGGCGGTGATAAGGTTATGGCTTCTCAAGGATGAGATATCAGATTTGAGGTACAAGGTGCTGTTTATAAGTAATTCGGAAGGGTTTCTCCGGGCCTTGGAATATCTATGTACTGGTGAGAATCTCAAATGGGAAGATATACATGTCGGATATGGCCGGCTAGTTGTTGATCTTCAAGTTAATTTACTAAGAAGGAATGATGAGTATCAAGAGTATTTTTTTTTCGATCTGGAGTATTTACAGCAGAGGATGAATGATGTCGGGTGTGGGTATGAGCATCGCATTGGCAAAAATTGACAAATACGGCTATGGGTATATTATTGACAATGACAAGGCAAAATCGAGGATACGTGTCACCGAACGATGTCTACATGTGCTCTTATATGGGGATTATAGTATACCCTGGATATCGACTAGTTGAAAATACATCATTGCTAAAAACCAATTGCTTCGATTCGATCCCCCACATAAAGGTCCTTTGTCTCAGTCAGCCCACAAGCTAAAATACATGTTCGATCACTACATGTAGTTTTTGTCTATTGGCACTTTGTCTAGGCTCTGAGCTAAGTGTCGAACGTAACTTCCCGTCGTTTCAGCTCAGTTTTATTCTCGGGGCGTGGTTCGTCAACGGAAGGCCGCATACAGACGTAGTTCTATTTTTTATTTATTTTAATCTTGGCCAATCAGTTCATTAGCCCCTCTCTTTCGGCGTTGGGGCCTCCTCCTGGAAGGACTTTAGGTCACGGTGTGACCGACGTATTTTATACCAGGATAAGTGAATATTATTTATTTTTGCTTTTCGAGTGAGGAGGTGTGATTGGGGGTGTGGCAGATTCGGCATGGCGTGGAACACGCAGTATCACTCATACATGGTAGTTTCACTCGGATAAGGTACGAGAGGTTACTTCGTGTTAATTCATCATCACGGATCTAGCCAGCTTTAATTCCAAAATTTAGTCTATTCATTCTGCACTCTAACCTGAATCTCTAAATCTCGTCTAATTCTTAATTCCGAACTACAAAAGAACATTAGCAACTCCGGCAACAACCATCAGACTCGCAGCCAATCCAACCCCGAGTGGGGCTGCAGCAGCGCTATTACTAGTACCCCCAGCTGAACCAGACTTCTTGCTGGACTTGGATGATCTCCCTCCTCCTCTGCCACCTTTGGGCGATCTTCCAGCAATATGCGTAACGGGAGCTACCGGCGCGAAGATGTCATCGCCAGTGCCGATGACGTCACTAGTAATGGCTGGCGCGGCGAGAAGGGTGAGAACTGCAATCGTCTTGAGAATAGTAGGCTGCATTTTGCTTTGCTTGTTATTGGTTCTTGCGAGTTTATTGCTTTTGTTGGCCGGGAGATCATTACTACTTTTAGGAGTGCTACTTATAGTATTAGATAGAGGAGATTTGGGTTTCAAGATGAAGTTTTCTGGTCGTCGGGTGGTGAACCAGTTTTTCAGAGTCTAGGTAGATGCGATGTTCTTTGAAATTTTAGTTGGAGGGTGTTGAGGAGGTGATGGTTCTGAAACGAAACGGCACGTGCACAAAGGTGAGAACCAATATCTCCGAGTGATATCTTATGACGACACTCGTTCAAAATCCCAAAAACCGCCGAATAGGGACTTAATAGACCAAATAAGATCTACGATAGGGAGTACTTTCAAAAGAAAAATGGGTTACAGCTGCATCCTCCTGAGTCATCATGGCGCAATTCTTTGTACTCGGCACCTCCGATTTAACCTTGAAACACTTTTTTTGATTATGAGCTCTATAGAACGTTATTTTGAGTTTGTTGTTTCGTTTCAGTTCCTCTTGTCGAAAATGTGCCTTCTATAATAAAAGGATCCAAACTAAGATTCAACCCCAGAGAGTACCTTGTCGAAGCCATATTGCTCCATCGGTTAGAGGTTTAGGTGGCTGATTTATTGGCGAGGATATGTATACGTAGTATAGATACAGGTGTGTTAGAACTGTCTGGTATTCTTATTCAGCGGGAAGTTTAAAAATGAGGCTCTGTATGCATGTGATACATAAGACGTAGTGAGGCTCTTTCCCCTGTCTAATGCAGTGCGTGGTTGTTGCAGGGAAACACGATTCACCATCTTCAACAACATTGCGCAATCAGGTTGTGACCAGGGCTATATATTCTTTCGTTCTGACCCGGCCAGAACCCGTAAACGTCTTTCATATATGTACCATCATCATGATAGGAAACGGCATTGGTAGACTCTTTTCCCTAGCTCCACTATCTACCCTATCTTATCTAGCTCAAAGTCTATAGACTAATCAAAATGTCCTCGGGGCCTTCCACACACTGTTTAGTGATTCTTCGTTATGTTAGTAACCTTATCCAATCAGGCCGTCACATTACGAAACGAGGGCCACCCACTTCTTAGTTACTTATCGAGATTAAATTACCCACTTCTGGTGCTTTGATTCTGATTTCTTAATCTCGTAAGATCAACGGTACCCATCGAGTTGTGGATGAGAATACAAGGCTAATTAGCTAAAATACTGCTATGAGGCACAGCAGATGGCTACATAAAGTATCTTTAATTCAAGATCCCTTCTACCCGTTATTCTCCAATTACTACAACGCTCTCATCAAATGTGCTCAAGTAAGTATGCGATATCAAACCTAGTTGCAATATGCTGATTCGATTGGTTAGGTGTTCGACAGGTAGTCACGTGAAATCATACAAAATCACTCGGGCTTGGCGGGAACCATAAAGTCTCTCGTATATAAAATTCAATTCTTTCTCTCCTAAATACTTTACATGTAGCCTGACATGTCCTTTTAGGATGCAGCCGTAATACCGCATTAAAAACCCAATGCAGTAATAATACCACATTCTAAATAATAAACCAAAGAAACAAAAGGAAACACTTTTTTCATACAGTATACATTGAACTATACACCCATCCACCAATCCAGAATCTAAACAATCTAAGCATAGGTTGAGCCGATATCACCAAACTTGATGTTGGAGTAGGTGACCTGAGCATCCGCGTTGTTGGCCTCGACGTCAGCGGGGACACCAGAGGTGGTGGCACAAGTTCCACGCTTGACACCGGGTGCAGATGCGTCCTTGTCGAGAGGGTAGGCGCTGTCGAGCCACAACATCTGAGCCGCATGGTCATCCCAGATACTAAGAGCAAGAACCATTCCTTTGTCAAAAGCATCACCCATCTTGGAGAGCCCGCCCTTGGTAGCGAAGTCGTTGGTGTCGCCGAAGGCAGTCTTCTGGGCGGCACAGAAATCATCGGTGATGGAGTCCAATGCATCCATACCGGCAATGTTGACCTTGGAGTTGACAATGGTCTGTCCATTCTGGACGTAGAGGCGGCGGATCTCAGAGAGGGCTCCAGTGGTGGTGTTGTCGGCAGTGAAGAACTGGGTAACAACAGTGAAGGGCTGGGTGGTGTCGACGGTAAGTCCTTCACCGTAGTAGGTGGTGTCACCCATGCGGTAAGAGTTGAAGTCACAACCGTCCTTGTCGCAAACACTGCTGTATCTGTCGGTATCTCCGCAGTCATCGCCTTCGCAGCGGACCTGGCCCTCGCTACAAGGGTGGGGTGTGAAGGCGCTAGAGATGCTGTTGGCCTCCCAGACGTCCATCTCGTCACAGCAAGATCCGTACTTGCCAGTTCCGGAGTTGACATCGTTGTCAGAGCCAGTCCAGTCATCAACATTGGCCTAATGAGAAGGGAATGGTTAGTAAGATTTCAGACATGGGGATGATAGGGAGTAATTACCTCTCCGTTGATGAACTTAATGTCGTGGGGGCATTGAGCATCACAGTAACCGGTTCCGTACTTGGCACCAGCCTTGTTGGTGGAGTACTTGGCCATACCACCATCTGCATCCATCTGGGAGAAGTAAAGAGCGCCGTTGAGACCGCAAGGAAGCTTGGAGACGTCAACGTCGAAGCTGAACTCCTGGTTCTTCATGTTGAAAATCTGGTACTCGCTGTCGCTGGCCATGAGGTACACACGGGACCCGACGTTGGTGTTGGTACCCTTGGTGACAAACTTAAGGGTAAGAGCGGTACCAGTGGTGGTGATACCATAGGTTCCAGAGTAGTCGGCACCATCAAGAGCGCAGTTTGATGCGCAGGTGGCTCCATCAGGGCAAAGGGAGGAGTCCCAGGTCTGACCGGTGTAGCAGTTAGTGTAACCGCTTGTGGTGTGCAACCAACGCCAGTTGGCATCGAGGGTGATCGAAGTGGAGAGCGTAGTGCAGCCACCGCTGGTTGTGCACTTCTGAGAAGTGAGTTTGGGGTGGGTTTCCGCAGTGACGGTACCGGCCTGTTGGCCGCGCACAAGGGCAACAACTGAGAGAGTGACGAGAGCACGAAGCATTTTGAATGATAGACGATAGACTGAAGACTAGGCTGTTGGATTGATGAAGAGACTGATGGTGAGATGCAGAGCGAATTTAGGGGAGAGAATTGAAGCTTTATATACCTTAACAAGTCCATCGAAATCTAGGTGGTAGCATGGGTCCAGGGACCAAAAGCCGTACGCCAATATCGCAGATATGCTTGTACTGTAGAAGAGTTCAATGGATAGTGAATGATGGGACCATCATCCGTGTGCTAATGCTAGTATCGAAGTAGATCTCTATGAGATGGGCCTACCAAAGCGCCTGCCACTGTCAAGGGTATGCTACTATCGAGTATGCAGGTACTACTCTTGTAGCCACACCCGTGAAAAAAAGCACTACTCGCGCGGCAACTTGTTTGGAAAAAATTATGGCCCGAGACAACTGAGAGGGTAGTCGGCGGGACGGACGGCCGGCGGAGCCGTGAATACATTGAACAACGGCAATCCACATAATGAGCAACCCTGGTATCATGAATTTTCCCCGAGCCGATGTTTAATCTACACACGGGGTTTAATTTATGCCAAGGATATGCCTTCTGTTTCTAAAAAATACACACTATGAAACATCAACAGAGTGCGAAGAATACCAGCTGAGAAAGGCACTTACAAACTATAAGAGATATATGGAGTATACTAAAAAGCGCGCCACGAAGATTTTGCAAAGCTTCATTTTCCTCCTCTGGACATCTGGGATTTTGGTGAAGTCACTTGATCAATTAATGGTGCAAGAAGGATGAATATTATGAGAATATGCAGTCGACATCTGTCACAAACAGTGGGTAGCTAGGTTATGGTCATAGTCATGGGTAAACTAGGTCATAGATAGACCATGGGTAGATTAAACTCCGTTGCAAGAACAGACGAATGAATCTAGATCAGGGATCGGTTCAAAAAATTCAGGGAGTCTAATCTATCCATGATATACTCTAAACTATCATCTAGCCACCCATGATTTGAGGAAACAACGGCTCTGGCCAGTTATCCTCGCCATAACCATCTTATAAAAATCAATAGTTACTTTAGCTGGAGATGAGTGAGTTCACTACCTCTCTTCATACTGTGGTATGGCAGTGATTGATAAAAAATAATAGGGAAAGGTGTTATCCAACGGCACTAACAAGAATCCGACGATGCGACTCTCCGCTGATTTCCCTCAGATACAAAAGCTACATACTATATGAGTTGTAAATCTTTACCACACCAACCACTCGACTTTGAAACGGTTATTACTTTAAGCTGGACTCAGACGTAATGCCGTCCGCCACACCTTGGTAGTTAGTGGACCCCGGTAAGCCAAGACGGCTACATAACCTGGTAGAGTAGAGCACCTAAAGTACCTACACCTACTTTACTCTGCGGGTAAGACAACCTGTCAACGACTTTGGGCCGAGCTCCGGGCGCCGCCCGGCCCCATACATTCCGTACCCCTCCTCGGGGTCAATCGTAACCCTGGTTCGGTTGTAGCCGAATTCAGCCAAATCTCGCGATGTTGGGGTAACGAGCTAGAGATCTTGAGAAGAAGTTTTTGGGCAACCAACCACCCCGCCAGTCAACCCCTGGCAATATCAATATCGTGATCTTGTCTGACCAATGTTTTTGTTTCTTGTTTGTACCTACACCCAAATGTCAACCACATCTCTCAGAACATATCAGATCGACTTTCCACCACTTCCGGTCGCAACCGTACCGCCCAGGTCACTCGACATACCCTTAGGATACAGAATGTTTCCCGAGTTCCCCGATAGATTTTCCTCGACACTCTCCCCCAAATGTAACTGCAGATTTTCTTGCCCTTTTTCGCTGCATTCGCCCCGCGTATGGCAAGACAACACGGGGCATGCGGGCCCGGGCGTTGTCAGGATCACCTTTAAATGAGCAAAGGTGTAGACTACAGTAGTACCAAGGGGCTATAGTACCT